TAGGTATTTGGACAGTGTTTGCCTTTGTTGTTGTTCTTCCATACTTTGATGCACATATTCATACGGAATATAAAACAATATCACAACAGTGAGTGTGTTTACATGCCCATTTCGAGTCATTTCATGTTTTTGATCATAGTTGCCATATGATATTTACATGGAACACGACAAACCTGGTCATTCATATCCGTGTTTAACAGTATCCAGGTTTCTGATCACAGGTGTGTTTTTGAATCTTCAACATCTAGCAAATCTCTTTGTGTACCGACTAAACGATTAAAGATGAAGTTATTTACAGTCTGACTGTCCAGCTGTGTGGAATAGTTGAAGAATCGATGCTTCGATGGGCAGAGCCTGATTCGACCGCAATCTCACAGTTGAAGCCTCGCAGCGAAACAAGGATCATGCCATTTTGGCGATATGGGGGTGCTCAACGTCTAATTTAACATGGATCTATCACTTTCTTCCCCAATAAGTTAATATACAGCCTATTACAATATACATTTCAACATTTAATGCTGTAAATAAACATGTAAAAAGAAAAAACTTTCAATAAATGTTTTTAAAGTGCATAAATAAATCTAAAATTGTAACCCTAACCCTGGGTCGTCAGTGTGCATGTGTAGGCGTAGCGTTTATACAGTCTATGGTGTAGCCTATTGGCAGAAGAGGGACACTTGCTGAAGAGACCGAGCCCCAGCTTCATGGGTGTTGTGCCGAGTTGTCCGTGATAATTTATCACCGTTAATGAACCATACAAAGACTATTATGGTGTTTTTAAACAGCCGGCTACTTGAAATAGACCTGCAAGGAACCGCGACATGCATGCAGTTGTCGGCAGCACGGCTTGAACGCAAAACTCTGCAGAAAACCGGAGAATGGCAGGCGAGCAGAGAGAAAAGGGTCTTCAAAAAGCCTCAGTTCAGCGGGAAATTTACAGTGTAAGTTGAATGAATGACTGACTGATCATTTTCTGTCAATCAACATTACAGGAGACCTTGAGTAAATATTATATTATCAAAATATAACATATACCTAAAATAATGTAGCATGAGCATGAACTTCACCTTAAAGATCACATTCAGTAATATTCCCAGGTGTCAAAAGTATGTTTGACCATTTCCTTATTGTATCCACTGTTCCTAAAATGTAATCTATTAAACTGTCACCAAACTTTTGATATCTTAATTATAGGTGCATGTTTAAGCCAGTAGAACTGCTTTAATATTCTATAAAATGTCAGTAAAGAGTACAGAGTGAAGGTAGGAACAATTGTGTTGCAGCTGAAAGCCTCAGAGCTCACTGTGGGTAAGTAACAGTTTATACCCTTGCAGTCAAAGCTGCGAGCCTCTATTTCTGTGATGTTACTCTGTTAAGTGCATCCCATTTAGCACAAGTGTCAACTTCCAATGTCTTCGCTGGTGTAAGAGGACAGGTGATGACAAGCGACTCACTTGTTGAAACTGGCCAGGTTCTGCATCACCTTGGCTATGAGTGTGAGTGTGCGGGACGTGCGCTCAGCAGGGTACTCCTGCATTAGGTTGAACAGAGAGGGGGACATAATGGCCGGGCACATGAAGCGGAGAAACAGGGAGGAGCTGATGAGGCTGTCTGCGAGATCCTCTCTTCCACGCTCAGCACATCTGGCCCTCCACGAAGCAAAAACTTCCTTCAGCTCCCGGGGAAATATGCTGAAACGAGAAATTCAGCAAGGTCAGGAGACTAAAACATACGGAAAATAACTGGACCATATCCCGCTCAGGATGGAGAATGTGTTTCCGAAACAATTTTTTAAACTGTTTATTTCTGCTTGCATTTCAGAGTTTGCAAAATGAACGCTTTTAATTTGTTCTAACTATGGACACACATGGGGGAAAAGATGTTTTGTTGTTGAAGCTAGATCTTAAACCCTGAAAAACAATGTCAATGTCACCAAAATAAATAAACTTTTTCAATTTAATTATAGTTCATTTCTACAAAGATGTGTTCCTTTTTTCATTTTATTTACATTTCTTTTCCTAATTAAAAATCTCTCCCTCCCCCAGATTCTGTAAGTCTCAATCATGCTGCCTTCAGGAAATGTGGGAACTGGGAAAGTGATTTTTCTACACCCCGTATTAAAGTGATTGGCATGGACTCAAAATGGACACCAAATAGAGTTGCATTTAGCAGGCTGTTTAAAAGCCTTCAGGCACCAATCAATCTAGATACATACAAGATACATGCGTACTGAGGGGTATAAATGGGGAACAACTGACCAGAGAGAGTTGATAATCTTGCACAGTAACAGCTCACAACACATGCGAAGGTTGGCCTGATGGTCAGCGAGGACAGACGGCGGGACACGCATGGGATCCACCTCACAGTTCTCCTCAGACTCATATAAGGCTCGAATGAAGTCACCTGCAAGTTCAGATCACAGTGTCTTTGTGTTTCCCAAAATGTATCACAGTACAAAAACTACTTCTTTCTTAAGAAAATTATCACTAAGGTCACTAAGGTATCGTGTAAGATGATTAGTATATGACAGTATATGAAAATGTTGAGATGAACTAAAATGTGAATTAAATGAGTTTAATAATTAAATAGGATAAAACATGAAAACTGGCATGTCTTCCTTTGTATGAAGTACAGTATACTGGATTCTGTGCATCAAGAAAAACCTTAAAACAGCTGATCCAGCTATTCTTCTTTTTCTTTCATTATATGAGAGGATAAAATGTGTTTTACATTGATGATGCTTGATGCACAAACGCAGTCAAGATGGACTCTGTTCCCCAAATGTCAGACTGTTTATTGTGAAGATGTAACTTTCATATTATCATCTGGTTGCTGCTTTTTTTTTTTTTTTACATTCACCCCAGATTTTAAAAATGCACTGTGAAATGTTCAGGGTGTATACGTGTATGTATATATGTATATAAATAACAGTATATATTGGGTTTTTTTATATGTTACCATATTTTAAAGAGGTGGTACTATGCAGGTTCAAAATCTTATTTAGGGGTTGTACCAGAACAAGTTTACATGGTTTAAGTGTCAAAAAACACCATATTTTTGTCATACTGCACATTGCTGCAGCTCCTCTTTTCACCCTTGAAGGCTTTGTTTTAGCTCTGGAGTGATGCATCTTGTCTCTACATGATCTTTGTTGGGAGTTGCACATGCACAGTTCCTACTTAAGGACTACTAGTCAGTCAGAAGCAGAGAAGGGCGGGTCGTGAGAAGCTGGTAAACATGGCTTCGGTTCAGCTGTGTATGTTCCCGTTACCAGCTTAGCAACATGGACTGAAGCAAGAGTTTCAGAGTGGTGAGTTATTAATCTGTAAATGTATCTTCCATCCATAAAGTTATAACTGAGCTCTGTCTCTACATCACAGTAACAACTTTAAGTCATTGACTGCCTGGAGGGTCGCTAGTGTTTGGAAGGGAGAGGAGAGGTGTGTGCTGCAGCTCAGTGTTTTTCCATCTGTGTTTTTGAGGGCGTGTCGGACTAGCCGCTTGGCGTCATATGACTCGCATTTTGCTTTCATCCTTGTGACGTCACAGGGATGCAGTACAGAGCAGTGTTTTGTGTGGGACATGGGAAATCCCTTTGGGGTGCTTTTTCACTTTGCAAACCTATTACATGCACAAAAAAGATATAAATCAATAAAGGAGAGGGAAAAAGTACCACCTCTTTAATATAGGCCTACACTTAATTATATGCTGTGTGTAGCATGAAGGAACTACAAATTTTGTTTCGTTATGCAGCCTTGTGCTGTATAATGACTAATAAACAACCTTGTACCTTGAAAATATGAAATTTGCATTTTATGTTGTGACAGAAATGTTATAAAAGCACAGTTCATATTTATTGATGTGACATTTAGACAGCTCTCCTTGTTGCTGCCATCACAATAAATAAGAGTAATTTGGGAAAATGTCACAAATATATCACAAATGTAGATCAAATAATCTCAACATTGTTTATTGCTAACTAAACAGATGTTTATAATGAAATTTAGCCTAGCCTGACACACTTCAAATACTCCTTTCATTCAGGCAGCTAAATATTACATGTACAGTGATGAGCAGTTGGGTTCATCAACAGTAGCCTTACCTATAGCATCCTTGAGGTATCTGTGACCAATCAGTTTGAGGTACTCTTCCACAGCCTTTGTCGCTAGCGTGTTCTCACGAAAGATCAAGTGCTCACGGTCCATGAATCGATCCACCTCACACATCGCCATGTCAGACAGGAACTCCTATGATGAAATTACATTTTCAGTTCAGTAGAGCGTATTTAAAGGAAAGGAAGTAGTATCCATTGCAATGATATAAAACTACAGATTTGAGACACGTGAACAGCATTGATTTATGGAACTATAACATGCAATCAGATTACATTTTTACTCCTTTGTTTACCTTTGTTTTCCCTGTACTTTGTAGGATGTGCACCAGAGCAAACGCCACCTCCTCTTTGCTTTTCACACTCAACAGTGGCTCCAGGACTGCACACAGTGTTCGGTAGTTGTTGGTAATGTATTCGGCAAACTCCTTGTACAGTTCCATCGGGAGAATGTTCATTGTCTGGTAGCGAGACTTGACACGTAGTGAGGCGTTGATCACTTTGGCACTTCCAACACCACCACTTTTGGACAGGACACTGGACTGTATCACCGGGTACCACTGCTCAACAAACTGCCGGCCCGTGATGCTGGAGATGGGGATGCTGACAAGGCCAAGATATGTGCTTTTCTCCTAGATTACCAAGAAAGCGTTTTTAATTTTTAATATTTATAGCACAATAAAATGGTTTTGACACTGAACTAGGTTGTTTTTTTTCTAGATCAACACAGAATGCATTACCTTGCGTCTTTTTTTGTCAGTTTCCTTGTAGAGGTGTAATCGAAGGCTACGAATGGTAGGCAAATTGTTAAATTCAAAATGCTCGCCCCAGAAAACGGTGTCAGTCCGAGGTTTGCTGGTGGTGCGGGCGTACAGCATGTCATCCAGACACAGCTCACAATAGTAACGTTTTTTAGTTGGAAGGTCTCGAGCTTCAATGATCCACAACTTGAGCACATTGTCCACCCGTCTGCTGTTGTCCTGAAAGTGAAACGAGGAGTTCTGTTACTGCATTATAACAGTCCTTATCTTCACGTGTTCTTAATGTTACACCTTGAATCTTGCGAGGAAATAAGGTGTTGGATCATTTTGAGTTAGTGGAATTGAAAAAGAAAACAAAATCTATTGTATCTACCTTGTTAGGTTTGACAGCTCGTTGCAGATTTTCAATCCACTTGTCTCTCTCTGAAGCTGAACGGCAGGCAAAACATTTTGTCCCTGAATTGGTGGTCACCTGCACCATATAGTATATTCATTATAATAAAATATTCCTTTATGTGACTGCAACTAACATTTATGTTTACTGTTGATTGTTGTTTTTCAGATTAATTGGTTAGTAAATTAAATATATAAATGTCAATGTCAATGTATAAAATGTGAGAAATCGCATCTGACAGCTCAGGATAACTTCTTGTCTCGTCTATAATTCAAAGATAATTCATTTACATACTGATAAAATAGGGAAAAACAGCTAATAAACGAATTGTTGCCTATTAATTTTCTGTCAACTGACATGTCATTTTAGCAGAAATTCCTTAAATCACTAGATCGCTTCATTTATCTACTTTGGAGAAAGGTGAGAAGTGGCTTTGTAGTGGCATCTAATTTGATGTCATTACATACATTTTAACAAATTCAACTGAATTGGTTAGTTGGCTAGAGAAGTATACAGTGAGTTTTTAGTCCATTAGTAGGTAGGTAAAACAAGGGACAATAAAAAAGGTTATACAGCTTAACACACCTCAAAGCAGTACTCTTGTCCTAAAATGCTAGAGTGGACAGGTTTAATTATGGCATCTTCGTCCAAAACTAGGTCCAAAGCCTCCGCAGCACTGCTAGGAGAAAGCAAGGATTCATGGGAGTGGGATTCTTTGAAGCTCTGCATCAATCGTGTCCTGGTGAGAGAAGAGATTAATTTAACTTTCAGATTTCAGATAATCATTGGTCTTTAGATAAAACAATCCAGAAAGGCTTTCATTTAACAAACAATGAGTCACTGCAGCACAGAAATCCTTGTGCATCTCTCCTGCAATTTCAGTATGATCTGATCCTTTTATAATGAGTTTATGGAAAAGTTAAGACTACCAGATTTTCAGTTCTGGTGTTTCCAGTTTGGTTTGTTGACTCGACTCGTGTGATTCATACTGCATGTTAGGACATGGCCAACAGTTTCTTACTTGTTGGAGTTTGAAAAACTGTTTGGAGTCTGAAATTGCAATTCTATAATTTCCTAGAACTGCACAAGACCTTAAAAATACAAATGTAAATGTATTGTTGGTACTGCCTGTGTAAATGGAGAACATGTAAACTAAGAGGAGAATTTCAGTGGGGCTAATCAGCAGTAATATTGTAGTGTTGCAATGTCTATTCCTATTAACATTTTCCAAAACTAGGTTTTAAGAATAAATTTAAAAATGTGAAGATTACCTAAAATGAAACGCTGGAGCTTCCTTTCTGCATAATAGTTAAAGCAATAGTTCCACATTTTGGGAAACATGACTATTTGCTTTCTTGCAGAGAGTTAGAAGAAAAGATCGATACCACTCTCATATTTTTCCATTAAATATAAAGCTACAACCAGCAGCCATAAGCTTAGCATAAAGACTGAAAACAGGGGAAACTGCTAGCCCGGCTCTGTCCAAAGGTAACAAAATTCATCCACCAGCACCTCTAAAGCTCACTAATTAACACGTTACATCTCAATTGTATGCTAAGTTAGCTAACTGGCTTTTGGCTTTAGCTTCATATTTAACCGACAAATATGAGGAATATGTGGTAACAATCTTCTCATCTAACTATTAGTGAGAATGTGATTAAGTGTATTTCCCAAAATGTTACTATTATACTATGTTATATGTTACTAATGTAACTATTCTTTTAACATTTTCTAAAAGTAATTTTGAAGAAGAATGAACTAAAAAAAATGTAGAGTTCATCTATTCGAGGCTGGAGCTAGCATGCTGCATTTTTAACGCTGCCTTTGAACCTAAGAGAGAAAATGAGGGAAAAGAAAAAGCAGCAGCTTTGAAGGAACACCTGATAATTATGCAGCAAATGAGCAGCGCTAATTTAAGGCCAGATTTGATGTTGGTGAGAGGTGCAATGAATCAAGGGGCTGACTCTGCCATCGCAGAATGAAGTACATGAAAAATGCTTTGGTAAACCGACTTGGCAGAAGAGGTAGAGCAGCTGCGTTGGAAAGCTAGAGTGTGAAGTTGGACGCTGAGGGTTTATAGCAAAGTCAACTTAATGCTACTGAGTGAATTAAGTGTGTGTGGGCAGAACTCAAAGCAGGCTGTGAAGGCATCTGTCTGAAGCAGCGGCAGGAGCTGGAGAACGGCTGTGGTTAGAGGGGAAAGCACACTGGCTGAAGCAGAAAGTCCCTTTAACCCCAACACCTCCTTCAGCGCTGCCTCCACAGAACCCCTTGGCTTAATATATAATTCATTGTAACATTTGAACTGGGCTTCTGAATTGGCACTCACTGTGCATTTTAGAACAAAGAATTTTTACATCCTCTGCTAAACGATGCAGTTCACATCTCTGAGCGTAGGACATCCACACCTGCCCTAAAAATGTCTATTACGCATCTCCTGTGGCGTGTGGAAAGTGTACTGTCAGCTTTACATTTTTACTTTCTGCATCTCCCTCTCTACATCTTTACATTTCCCATATGTGCATCGTGACTGGATTGTGTGAAGACTGCATAAATTTTTGATCACAGTGGAAGCCAGAATCCTCTGAGGTGTGACCTCAAGTCAGAATACAAAACAAGAAAACCTGTCATGAGAGCCTGTAGAGCTGCAAGCTATCGCATCCTGACACAATCAGATAACAGAAATCCCACTGACACTGGCATCATTTAATTCTAGCAATGTCCAACAGACCATTGAAAATAAAATAATATTTTACAAAAATAACATGATAGTTTTAGAAAACACCAGCACACTGACTCCAAACTACACATTTAATTAAAACACGGTTTCAATAACTGTTGTATTTTTGTCAGGTCAAAGTGTTTAAACATTGTCACCATACTAATATATATAATACAGTAGGCTGATAGGCTTTGATAACTGCTGAAATTAACCATCCAACCTGCCCAGGGTGATAAACATCTGAAAATAGCTATCAATAAAAGTAGTATACAATGAAAACAAAAATCAATCGAAAATAAACATTTATTTATTCAAAAAAGGTTATGGTATCTACTTCCTTTCCTTTAAATACGCTCTACTGAACTGAAAATGTAATTTCATCATAGGAGTTCCTGTCTGACATGGCGATGTGTGAGGTGGTATCAGTATGCAGATATTACTCAAAAGACAAAATTAACTTGATGACTTGGTGACAAAAGGATTAGAACACATCTTCCTTCAGGATAACACCAATGCTAATGTTAGCAAGGTTGATGAGAATTCATCATTGTCTTGAACTGAAGTGAAGGACTACTGGACATTTTGATATGGCGCTGCATAAAAAGTCAGGCTTTCATCAATGTCATCTGGGGGACTTCTACCAAATCTACCAATTTTAACTCCAGTGTATTAAATGTGGCCAGAAGTAGCAACAGATCAGGAAACAGGAAAAGCACAGGTGTAACATTAACGTTAAGAATGGTTCCATTTGCTTTAAGTAGCCCACTAGCGGTTTTACACTGTTTCCAAAGTGTGTTCATGAAACAAATATAATTTATTGTCCTTGAGCATACCACAGATCTAGCTACTGCCCATCCAGATGGGAAGGCATGACATTGCAGTGTCCTTAGAACTAGTCCCCAAAATAGCATTTGTCATTGCTGTCAGTTACAGGTGTGCTGGAAGCTGCATTGATGTTGCATCCTGCATTTCTAGAAATCCTGCTCTCTGTGAGCTCCCACACACACACACACAGCAAAGTCACTGGTCAGCAGAGCAGAAATGCCACGCTGGAGAAGTGAACAAGGTAGGTGAAGGCAACTTCACAATTACTGGAGTTGATAACAACTACACTCCCTACTGCAAGTAAGTGCTATAAAACCTTCCAAGTAAAAAGCCAATACTTTATTAATACACCTGTTCAGCAAGCATAAACACGTAAACATGTAGATTATATAGTGACAATGCTGTTGTAAACATTACGTTAGTTATATTAAATATTCAATTCAACTACTTTTCTGAATGTTTTCTTTTTTTAAATAATTTATTTTATAAAAAGCCATTTTAGCAATGAAAAATTACAAATAAAAATTTTAACAAAAATAGAAATAAGAGTTAATTTGACGTTAATAGTGATTAGTTGATGATTCGTGTATTTATTGCTGTTGTTAGACAGGAAAGGAGAGGAAACAATGAAGTCAGCAAACTGACTAATTTAAGTTAAACAGCAAATTAAAGTTTGCCAGCATTTATTATTAGCCATCATAAGCTACTGGTCATACCAGACTAAGGCTTTACCAGCTTAACCCCTGAGTGTATTGAAATAAGCAACGATGTGTTATATTGCTTATGAACTCTGTTTTTAATTTATATAAGGAACAATGGGATATTTCATCTTTCAAAACTTACATCTAGTTTTGCTTATTTCAGTATGAACCAAAGTATCAGACTGACAGACTAGTTGTAGGATGGATAAACTACTGACAGAGTTTATCCATCCTAGCACCAAATTTGAGGCTAAAAACACTTGATGCAATCACGGCAATTTCACACTTGAAATAGGAACATAACAGTTATCATTACTGGAACCCTCAGCAACAAATGCAACGATCTGCTTTAATACAGTGCACTATACTATACACTACATTACAGTACACAATCAATTGTCCTACAGTAGGAGGAAACTTTGAATATAGGTATTGATGTTAGAAATGTTCTGCAGCTCAAAAAGACATGTGGCAGCAAAAGTGCAGAAGCAATTCTAGCGTAAGGTAGTCACAGGAAACCCACTGAAGTAACACCCAGTACACAAAGCGACACTTCAATCATCCAAGCAAGAACTGATTTGATTGTTGATGGTTGAGTAGTGTCCAAGACTTAAAGGGTAATTTTGGTGTTTAGCATCCTGGACCCTATTTTCCCATGTTTTTGTGACTAATTGGGACAGTATTGAGCAAGTGCCCTGGAGCTGGGAGGGGCGAGACAAGGCTGCATCATAATCTCGTTACATCACACAAAACACATAAGTAATTGCAACCATGGTCTCTCCAGTCTTTCATAGCCTGTATATCAGGTGAACTGTGAACACTTAAGCACTCAGGTAGAAATATATTTATTAGTCCTGTCATAAACTGGCAACCTGTCCAATGTGTTTTCCTGGCTTTTGCCTAAGGCATGCTGAGATAGGCTCTAACCCCCCAGTGACACTGGATTAGAAGACAGTTGTTATTACCTTGAATTATATGAACACTTCACACAGCAAAAGTTACTTACCTCTCTTGGTCGGCACTACGAAACCGGGGCAAAATCATTTGTCTGAAGCTGCTGGTTCGGTCCAGTTTGGGCTGACTTTTGGCCCTCTTGATGGAACCCTTCAACCTTCGATTGAGAAAACTCTGAAAATGCGACAGGGGACAATAGAATAAAATACAGTGCCGAGTAAAAACACTACCCCCAACTGTTGGAATATAATGCAATAAGAAATATCCATCATTTACCGGCAGGTTCAGCTGGAAACCTTATGCACAAAAATGTATCTATGAAGGAGTAAACTCTCCTTCAAGCATCACATTGGCTTTGCTTCCCTAGTGGGAATTTACAATATTGGACCAGGCCCAAAAACGCCAATGTGTACGTGTTTTCTTTGTAGGCAGTAAGCTCACATATGCCATACACTTGCATCAGGAGAGCGTGACAAACCTTACTGTACTCACCGGCTGTCTGAAGGGCTGTGGGGTGGCATTGGGAGGAGTCTCCATGCTTGACTGTCTTACAGAGGCAAAACTTGCCCTGCGAGATTGGTCTATTAGGGAAGTGCAGCAAAAAAAACAACATATTGATAAATAAGGACATCAACATCTGATATTACATTATTATACCTATTCAACAAATACAGATGTTCAACTTCAAAGGACAATTGCCTAAATGTATTTTTCTAATAAGTTTGTGTCCTGCATTTGAATACAGGCACAGCATCAAAATATATATAATGACTTGTATGTATGACTTGTAATGCATTATATGAAAGATCATGCTGATTTTATACCAAAATGCTGGGAATATAAGGCTTTTGAGGATGAACTGTGCAAACTGTAGGTGAGTCAGACTAATTGGCTGCTGAGTTATGGCCATTTAATGTATCATGTTGCTGTAGGGCTGTTGCTGAGTAAATTTCCATCAAATTGTGGTATGGTTGCTCAGAGTTTATATGTACTTGTGCTCATCTAAATTAGGCAGCCAATATTGAGAAAACTGTATGGAATCATGAAAAAAAATATTTAAAACTTTTTGAGCTCATCCAAATACATTTTGTACCAAATTTGGTGACGAATGGATAAAATGTGTAAGGGGAGTCAAAATAGCACCAAAAAAAAGCAGCAACAGAGAGATATTACGTTTGAATGAGTGTGTGTTTTCTTACAAAGTGCTTTAACACGTGAGATTTTAAAACATTAGGCAACATGAACAATTTTACAGAAGTGTGATGATTTAATGACACAAAATGTCCTTTGAAATAGGTCATAAAAGGAATCAAACACCTTAGTACAATACTGCATGATAACTTCATAAAGGGTATAACAGCTTAACAGATTGTGTAATTATAATGTTGAATCGTAAAAAAATCAGTTATTTAAGTAATATTTGTTGATATTATTGTTACATTATCACAAAATAGTACAATATAATTTTGTACCCTTTATGAGGTCATAACCCACATTTCATTTTAAAGTTATTAGATTATCTTATTCATAGCTTGTGTCATTACCTTGCAGCTGCTTTGGACACATATGGTAAGGGAAATAGTATTTTTAAAAACATGACAAAGACATAATAATCACAAACAATCAACAATGCAGAATAGTAGGTGTACGTGAAGCTCAGCAACAAGGACAGACAGCTACAGCCTCCAAAAAACACTAAGAACAAACTTCTATTGGAAAACACTGTGAAACCAAGGCCAGTGGAAATTACGCAAAAAAAAAATATTGGACTCCTATGCAGTGGAAAGAAGCTGCTGTGCTGAGTCATCTTGAACCTTATAGTCTTCGTCTGACTTTAGGCTTGTGCAAACTCTGCAACATCGTGGTGAATCTATAAAAGCAAAGACTTCTATCTGTAGGGAATCAGATGTGATGCTTTCTCTACATGGCCGTGTGTTGGCTAACAAAGATGAGGCCAGCGAACAGGAGCAGAATACTCCATACATTACTCCACAGTCCTTATCTCTCTATACACACAGCCACAGATATGCAAGAGAGGTTTTATAAACAGCAGAATGAAGGCAAATACTCTCCATGTCACTCCAATCACACGTTTATGAAACATTTTCCAGTTTTCTAGCATGGTTCCAGACCTTTGAATTGCTGCCCAAATGTCCAATTTTTTCAGAAATTAAAACAATCAACCAATCAGGGTTTAGCAGGCAGGATAAAGAATGGGGACGTCATCTTCCAACATCGCTAGTTAGCTTCCTAGCTACATTCATAAATATTAGTGACATAAATAACAAATTTAAGTTTTTCACACTGATCAAAGAAACAGGTCAATTTAAGAGTTAACTGCTCTCTGTAGTAACCACTACCGCAGCATCTGTGCCAAATGAAAATGACACTGGTGGGTCAGATATGTCCCTCGCTAACGACAGATTAGGGCAAAATATGAACACAAAATAACAAGAACACACACTTAACAAGAACTCCGTTAACATGATGTTAGTCTGAATAAAAATAAAAAGTTAACGTTGAACAAAATGGTAATTCAGTCTGATAATCAGATTTCCAGTGTCCAGCTACACAAAGTCCAGGGTTTGTAATGACAGCAACATAAGGGGGAAAGAAGCATGTGTAAAGGTAAAGCAGGGCCCTTTACTTGGTTTTTTTGGTTGCACAATAAAGCCACATTCAATTTTTATTCATATACAGTTTGGATGTAGTGGTGTCCCCGACAAAGGATTTACATTGTCGAATCAGAATTGTCATCGATTAGTCGACTGATAGTTGAATCGTGTGTCTGTGTGTGTGTGTGTGTGTGTGTGTGTGTGTGTGTGTGTGTGTGTGTGTGTGTGTGTTGGGGGTGGGGGTTACACACGGTAGCTCCGCTTTAATCTTGAGAAGCTGCAGAGCTGCAGTCTCATTAGTCACTGTATCTTACACTGTACATTTCCAGCTAAACTGAGGCTTATTGTTGAGCCTTTTCTCTTTGCTCTGCTCGCCTGCCATTCATCGGGCTTGTGTAGAGTTGTGCATGTCCGCTGACTTGCCAACAACTATATGCCCGTTGCGGGTACTCACAGGTCTATTCCAAGTACTGTTTAAAAACGATATATAATATTCTTTGTGTGGTTCATCAATGGTGATAAATGATTTGAATGTCCGGCAAAGTTCACGCACAACTCTGCACATCACCAGTGCTGTCAGCATTATATGTTGATATCATTTTAAGCTGTACATTAATTTATTGGGAGAAAACCAGTAGTTCTATGTAAAATCAGACATTGAGCACCCCCACATAGCCAAAATGGTATGATCCTCGTTTCATAATGGCTCTGTGTAGATTCGACTGTGAGATTGGGAGTCGAATCAGGCCTTCTATTGAATCTTCGACTAATTTATCTATAGGTTTGTCTCATAAAGGTAAAAAAAATGTGATTATGTTTCATGCTGATATTCATGACTTTTTTTAATTACCTATTACCCAAGGGAGCTGTTTTCCCCCCTTTGCAGCAGAGAATCAAGACACTCTGTCATCCTATGATTTCTTCGCTCCCAAAGCCTGTAAATCGGCTGCTCTCCAGGTTCTATTCTGAATCCCAGCTAATTGTTTGGTATCCATGGAAACAATTCCAAGGGCTTCTACTTGAACTGTAGAAGATATTGGCACACAACTGCACAATAAAGATGATGAAAAACACTAAGTAACAAGCTGCACAACACTGTATTTCTGGTAACACACATGTGAGTGAACTGATCAGACCTATCTGCTGCCCACAGGGCGGGACTGTTCCTCGACAAAAGCAAATATTTCAGTTTCCTTTCCTGTCACATTGGGGGCTGAATGCTGACACTTCTCAGAAGCAAAGCTACATCAAATTGACTGAATGACCCCGCAGAGGAATATCCAATTTTTAACATTACTGCGACTAAAACGGTCACCTGCATCATGCGGTGCTCCAAGTAAACGTGACATTTTAGAACACATGGATGTGTTCACATGGGCTATTCTGAATGTAAATTGCTGTCAGGATGGAGTGTGTGGGTGGAAACAGCCTCTAGCTAACTGTGATACAGAGGGAGAGGAAGACAGAAAGAGGAAGACTATGAGTGGGTGTTGGAGAAACATACTCAACCTTTAGCATATATCTCTCTATTAATACACATTTGTAAACTTTGTATTTTTTAAGAAATTAAATCATATATTTTTTTCACATGATTGATTCCTTTTGTTATAGCAAAAAAAAAGATGCAGTATACAGATACAAGGTTCCATTTCTTAAACTAATGACGACATAAGCAGCCCTACCACATACTAACTATAAAATAGTTTTTTGCTATACTTTGACGAGACCAATCCACATAAAATATGTTTACTTCATCACTTTCATTAAACAACTTTGTACTTCTGCTTTCAGTTATATTCATTCAGTCCCAGCAGGCCACCAACTCAGTTTTTAGCACCACGGCTATCCCTGGCCTCGTGTTATCTTACATAACAAGACGACACTTCAGAAACACAGTTCCATGGTGCTATTTGTGGTCACAGCCATGCTAGCGGCTCTGTTAGGCTGTAATTAGGCACAATAATGGCTTGAGCTGAATGCGAACGCCAGCACCCTAACAACGACATCCTAAGTACTGCAAATCCATACTACTTCTAAGCATGATTTTAGTATATAAGCTAGTGTGTTCACACTGGAAAAGTGACAAAATGAATTATACTCAAACCGGACAGAATGTATACTAAATACAGCTGATTTTTGAGTGTGCTGTTGATGGATACTACTGTCCCCCAATGCAATGCAAGATAATGGAGGAGTGGCTAGGAGATGGGAAAACATTAAAATAAGTTGTGGGTGGTGGTGAAGCAGCTCAAGAAACATGTAAAAAAATAAAAACCTTTGCTTTCTGTTTTTTTTAAGTAAAACTGATGGACATTTAGCACTGCATGTATTGCATCACTTCTTGTTAATATAAAAGCACACTATGACAATGTATATGTAGCATATACACCACATAGAATCAGTGGGAGGGTAAGGATTTGGGACACAGCGCAAGTTAACGTACTGATGTTCAGCTAATTTCATGTATACCATCGTCTCCATCTTAGTTTAGCATGTTAGCATACTGCTAATTTGTACTAAAGCTACTCTACAGCTGAGGATGATGGGAATGTCAGTTGAACTTTTGACCTGATAATGGTGCTAGGTGAAAAGTCAGGGGATCACTGACTGTGATAGCAAGTCACCCTGAGGGGGACATAAATATCTGCACCAAATGTAATGCCTATTCTTTCAATGGACATCTCATGTAGAACCACAAATGTCAAGCATAGTGGCGCTACAGGAAAAGTCAGGGGACCACCAAATTCATCAGGAATTGTCGCCTGGTGACCATGAGTGTCCGTACAAAATTTAATGGCAAACCATAAAATAGTTGTCAAGATATTTCAGTCTGGATCAAAATGGTGGTGCAAACAACTGACAGACCAACATTGCCCTCCAAAGCGCCACAGAGCTAGCATGGCTGAAAATGATCCCAGTGAGTTCTACACATCTGTACGCACACATGGTTTGTGTATCTGAATCGGCATCTGAAGAGAAAAATTGGATCTGTGTACTACAATACAATCCTAAGTAGTGCCTGATGGTTGGCTTGCAGATGCACGTTATCAAAAAGAAAGGCTCAAGATTCAATGTGAATAAGTTTTCACACATATTAAAAAACTGTTAACAGCCTCACACAGTTTCATTTGTTCGGAAAGTTATTTTAAAGTTAGAGTGTCCTCTCAAGTGATGTCTGTGTCGTCTGGAGGAAACAGCTATGACTGAAATTCCCACAGAGAATACTGCTGGGACAGCATATAGATGTCAGGGTGGTTTATAGAGTACGGGGACTTTTCAAACTGCAGCTGAAAATAAACATGCTGAAAAGCATTACGTTGTATTTTTTTTTAAATCAAATCACTACATGTAGAACTTTTTAGCATGGACACGAAAGTATAGTTTGAAATGATGCCATATGTATGCTTTTACTGATCATCATTTGCATTTTCACTCTTGATGAGAATCTGCATTGTTTAAACTACTTACTTACTCTCTGACATGTGTCATAGTGAGTTTGTCTTATGTCACAGGGGTGAGGCCTCTTCACTGTTACGAGGGCTACATGATTTACGCCTTACGATTCACTGCATTGAGAGTGGGAGCTGAGCTCAATTTCATTGCGACTGTCCAGTAACAGATATCTCTCTCTCTCGCTCTCTCTCTCTCTCTCTCTCACACACACACAGACACACACAGACACACACACACACACACACACACGATGTCATTATGTCTGGTCTGCAGCATCTGACAATGAGCCTCTGGTGACTCACAGACAGGCCTGCTGGGGCAGATGTCGCATTCATGTCATATGGAAGTCTCAGTAATTGCCACATTCCGACTAGTAAATACTGTTCATGTCAACAACCAAATGGTGATTATGGCTGGGAATTTGGTATTTTTCCGACAGCTCCAATGTGTCCATGACAAAAGTCAATTTGTCAAGGTATACTAACTAAATCCTAATTTAATGCTATTGTGATCATGTGCACTGTTTACCGTCATAAACAGTGCATATCAAGCTGTGGTTAAACGCTGGGGAAACTGTTATCAAATTAATGCTAATTAAGTTTATTACATTTGGACAAATGATCAACATATTACAGCACAGTTTCTGCAACCAGTAACACGATGCTGAGGCAAAGGCTCATCTTACTTTACTATGCCACTTTTCATTCATATGGAACTCACCAAGAAGCAACTCCAGATATGAGCAACTTATGATCCTTACCATTAACCTTGTTTATATTTTGTATATTTACATTGCTTTGCACACGTAATTGATATTTTATTTGTGTACTATTTCCTACTTCCTACTGCAACTGCTGCCCTTAAATAAATTAAAATAAATTAAGTTCTATTTTATGTTATCTGTTCTGCCAACATAGTTTGGACTGTATGTATCTATTCAAAAGGGTCAAAATAAGTTATATTTGTATTAAACTGTTTATTTCTAGTGCCTAAATGCATTTTATAATGCAGTTTATAAATTAAAAATAATATAGTTTGACTAAGATATGTTTGAGTTTTTTTAGAAACAATGTTTACTTTTCAACTGTAAAATGTGGTCCACAATTCTCTAAAAAAACAATTTTAGATATCCTTATCAAAATGTTGTTATGTGTGCATATAAACAAATAAATATTAACTGTTACAATGTGTTTGAAAATTAAATAAATAAAAGTTTTTAGGAACATCTGTGACATCGCCTTGCACTATGACCCCAAAGTACAAAGCAAATTTATTTCTACTGTGATCATTGCACACTTTTTTATATTATAAAAGGGCATATTTGAGCTAAAACAGGGTGTTAAGTCGCTCTTTAAATAATCAAAATTTACACACTTGCTTGCACTTGTACACTGGGCCAAAGGTGGTTTATGTGCCTTCATAATTCATCGTTTAAAAACCACAGACGGCGGAAATGTGTGTAGAAAGTTAAGGCCATTCATTAACAGTGAGCTGTCCAAACAATCTGCCTGCATGACTGACAGAAGCAAACCCTTGCTGGATCAACCTTGTGGCTGTTTGACAACCCGGCAGCTTCGCCCCTGGAGGTTTTACACGGTTTAAGTGTGAGCAGGGATTTACAAAACGCAGAATGACATTGGAAATGCCACGCACATTTGGAGAATCAGCTGCTTGATGGAACAAACTTGTGTCTTGCGATGGCTGGTGCGTTTAAATGCAAGGTGAATAAACATCAGTCTTAAGCGCCCTTTTGAGTAAAGACACAAACTTGGAGGAGTTAACATATTCAATCTAATTCCACTATGACTTCAACATATACACTCAAAACATAATAGCACTTTAATTAGAAGATGATGAAACAGACAAAGAAAAACATGGGCTGTTGGGTTTATGCTAAGCAAAGTTGAGCAAAATGGGACACTTCCGACTGTGTACAGAGCCACTCCGTTGCTATGTTTAGAAACAGCACTGTAATCAAGTAAATGTAAAATGCACAGAAGAGGTAGAGCTTCAGCATTTGAAAGTGGAGGTGGGTGGAGGGGTTGAGGAAGCAGGGGCAGTGTGGGCGCGAGGGAGCCACGCTAAAGAACCTGAGATCGGCTTGAAAACTGACGGATACATTTTGGAGGAACAAAAAGAAAGACTTCCAGTGTTCTGCTATGTAACCACAATTTCTCGAAGTCAAGCAGCAGGGTTTGTAAAATGTGAATACCCTTCAAGTGGGGGAAAAGAACAGTAACCCAAATAAGCAATATGAAGGTGCTCTCAATCATGTGTGATTTCAAGTATCGCTGTTCTCCTGCCTGTCCGTCTGCCTGTGTGTGTGTGTGAGCTAGCCAAGGGGAGTGTGGCCTAGTTACCATAGGAACATGTTTGCAGCTTGTGCACTGCTCTCCATCAAACTACCTTCATTTTTACTAATGTATTTAGAATCATTATCATGGTGCTGTGCTTGTAAAGCAGCTGAAAATTGCAAAAATGAAATCAGAGATCAAGCTGCAATTTGAAGCTCTAACACCGACTGTACGGAGATACTTCTGTATTATCACACCAGACACAACACAGCTGAAAATAAGGGGATACAAAATGAACCGCCTCTTGTTGGTTTCCTTCTAAGACTTCAAAACATTACTGTTTAGGTCTTAATGTTTGAAATTAAACAATAACTTACATGCTGCGCTAACTAACTGAAAAATTAAATGAAAATTATTTCTATTCCTGCCCCTGGAGGGAGCAGAAATGGCTGCTTTCATCTTGGGAAGTAAAGAGAGCACAGAAAGGAGGAAGACTCTGAGCGTATCAAAGACGGAGTAAAAGGCAAATAGCGCTATCAAACCTAGAGGATGTCAAAATAAAGCTCTGGGTGTGTGACAAAGCAGGGCTCAGAGGGTGAGTGATGCTCCGGTGGAGGACTGAGTGGTAAAAAAATCCTCAATATGTAGAGGTACTTTTGTAAAGCTTCACAGTGCTGAAAAGGACTGGAAAGCCATGGGAGAGGAAAAAGAGCAGAATGTCTGAAAGCTGAGGCTGAAATGTATGTTAAACCTCCAATTAACTATTGGCAACAGTGGTGTCGATGGATTTCAGAGAAAACAGCATATAAAAAGGGAACATATAAAAACATATAACAGAGAAAAATCTTATTGGACCACGACAGACTGGAGAAGAGGCTGTAAAAGTTAGACACAGTTGACAGTAGTGAAAAGAAGACTTCCACCAGTATGGCGCTAAACTGACTCACTTGGGGTTAAAACTCCAGGTCCGCCACAGCAAACCTCCGCTTGACCACCCAACCCAAACTGACTCTGATGCGGCAGCCACGTCTTTGAAGATGTGTCCATGCAGCTATATGGCACAGACACAAGTTTTGTCTTTTTTAGTTTATATGATTGACAGACCAATAGTCATTTACAACAACAATGACAAGCTTTTTCTTTGGTACAACACAAGAAAAATAAACGTTACTCTGCATGTAAATAAGAAATCAAGGATAATAGCTTAAATATAGACAAGTATGACCAAAGATGCAAACGAACATTATAATTTTGGTTGACAAAACAAACATGGAGAAACTGAACTTCCAGCCACAGTTTTGCTTTGGAATAGGGAATAAAGCTGCATCTTGGGAAATAAGCTAATAGCAGGTGGAATATTTTTTCATCTAAATGGTTAGAAGAGTCTTTGGGGATTCTGGAAATACGTTCAGGGTCAGATCAGGGATTTATCTTTCAGAAATATTTAGCTGATTGACTAAAATGCAATAATACATGGGAAGCATAATCTGGGGCTAGTGCAGATGTGAACACACGAAATGTCTCTGTCTTTTTTTTTTTTTTTTTACAAAAAATAGTAGCAGAGGTTTACTGTCTTCTAAATTTCACTCACCATAGAGAAAATCTGAAGGCCACAGTAAATTATATACTTAAATTACAGTAAATAATATATACTTGCTTATTAAAAGTAACATTCAACTTATCATAGCAGCCCTTTATAGCCTTGTAGGCTAAATGTCATGATGCTGCTTAACCACAAGCTGTTATTATGATTAATTGATAAGCGTTCCTACCGACAGATCAGTGCCTTAATCCCCATGTTTTCTATTCCTTGTTCGCTGATTGGAATTTCAGGAAGAAAGGTGGGAAAAACAGTCAAAAAAACAGCCAATACATATTTTAACTGTCATCCAAACAAGGACATTTGGAAAACGTGGAAAACATTCAACATTTGATTATTCTCTTGTGACAGGGGACATGCCAGCTTCAACAGAGACTGTCCAGCTTATGAAATCCATCTATCTTTAAAAAAAAAATGTTCACAGCTGTATGAGATGCTAACTAGCCAGGCTGCCCACTTAAATGAGAAATCTGAGGTGGCTAACTCTTGTGTAGGAACAGATTAAGAGGAGGGGGATATGAGGAGACGATTCTTAGGCAGTTCCATAAGAGAACTGTTGAGTATCATGAGGTAGCACGTCGTTTGACTGTTGTGAGAGCACAGGCTCAGGATGGAGAATTACCAGAAGGGTAAAAATATCTTGCGTTTTCTCTGTTGAGTTGCTGGGAAAAAATGAGAATGGCAAAGAAATTCATGGCCTGAAGCAAAAGAAAACAATTTGAGGAGATTGCAGGAGAGAAGCTCGCTGACAGGAGTCCCTACATTCAAACTGGATGACAAAGTCTTTCTGTCCTTGGCAACAAGAGAAAGCCCCCTTCATGCGTTGCATTGATGGCTGAAGAGCAGCAGAATTATGACGGAAACTTGGTGTTCGGAGTTGTATTAGCTCTTTGCCAGCTGTCAGGCTCCCAGCTGACAACTGGCAGAGAGGCAAGGTATCCAGATTCTCAACATTTTATGAGGAACCAACAAAGATTGATAGATGTTGTCGTAATAACGCTCGCCTTTCTATTTTAACAAAACTAAGAAAATAATTCCATGACGAGATGTAGGAGTTAGCTCATATCCTATAGGCATTTCATATGGAGGAGGATGAGGAAATCCTGTGAGGGCCAATGAGTCAGTGTGAGCTGGACTTATCTTATTATCTTCTTACATTTCATTAACTAAAGTTCCTCTCGCTCCACTGCATTATACTTTTTTTGTTAAGATGGGGTATGCAGTGCAATATAGTGGCTTGCAATCATCCGTGTGCAACATTACAAAGTCTCCAATCTACAAGTACATCAGTTTTAGCCAGCTGAGGTGGAGGAACTGTCACAGCAGAAAAATCCACACAAACGTATCTTGATTTTATTCATCTATTTGTCCATACACACACATAGACCCCCGTGCAAAGTCCAGTGAAAGTGGGACACTCTTTGGATAGTTCTTTTAACCAAAACACTACTGCACTTGAACCAATTCTGTTTCTGTAAACTGAATCAAGCCAAGAGTTAAATAAACTGGGAAAGCCAAAATGATTAAATAATTTCTAAAATAATAAGTAATAAAATACCATTGTGTCATTTCAACTTTGTTCTGATGTAACTGAAATAAATAATTAGCTTTTAATATCAAATTAGCATATGATCAGCTCTCAGAACCCCTGTAGCCTGTGCAGGTGTTCAATGTGCAACACCCAGGGACAGCTAATTAGCAAACTACAGGTATCAGTGAAATTAGTGCAAATTAGCAAGAAAAGTCTGGCAGACTTGAAAGAAGCGAAGTGTCAATCAACCAGATCCTTACACTGTCTTCACCTTTTGGGGGAGTTTGCAGGGACCTTATTTAAAATTATCTTGATAATAGACTATATGAATAAATAATATTCTACCCAGTGTCACGTGTTGCATTTTGTGCAATGATATTACAGGTAATGTGATCTCCATTATTATGTGTACAAAATGCATCTGGGGGCATCCTGCATGTAAGACAACTATATGAACTATTGTGACATCTGGCTATTATTTTTACACAAATAACAATTCATGAAAGCAGTTAGTGCCAATGTAAATGCATTTCATACAAAAGAAAATGGTACAGCAAGCAAATCCCATCACTTTTGTGCCAAATTCCCTAAACAGCCTCCACATTTTCAGGAGAATGGTAAAACCAAATGTTATCATTGAAAACACATTAAAACATGTTTCTTAGGCACAGGTATTTATATAAAATCCATTAGGCAAATCTTAAATGTTCTACTTGTGTGCTGATGTCCCACTTTCACTGAACTCATCACTGTGAAGTCACAGATCATTCAGCCTGCAATGCATCACCTTAAAAAAAAGCCTCAGAAAGACACCTGAGCAACTTTGATGAGTTTTAGTTGTATTAACAGCTGGCATAGCCTGCTGCTGAAAAATATTCAGGCTGTAAGGGGGACGCTCAGCTCAAACACCTCAACTAGTGAGCCTCTCCAGGTCAGCTGTCACTAATACGTCACTGTGAGATGGGATAGATATTTTGTGTGTATGTCACTCTACTTTCTGCCCACACATTTACAAAACTCACCCAAAAAAACAGGACTTCCTGGTGACGAAATCGTAGCAGCTTAGTTACATCTGCAGTTGCGGATTGAATCCGGTGGGTTTCCAGGGCACTTGGGAAGGGACTGAGGTTCCAGGTTTACTTGCTTTTTTGGGGACCAAGGAAGAATCAGTTTGTGCAGACCTGAGAGATGGTTTTCAAATGAAAGGCCAGTGTTGTCCTCTTTGAGAGAAGATAGTTGTAATTTAATCATTAGGGCCAATTTGTTGTGTTCAAGGTGGGCAGCTCCTCCTGTTCTCGCCTATGCTGCAGTGTGTCCATACATGCCTTTTGTAAAGTGTGAAGGAAGCAGTGAAGCTGGCTGTCACAGGGGTCCCGTCACCGTCAGCTCAGTCCATCACTGAAGCCAAAGCTTGCCTATCAGCAGTGGCTCTGTTGTGCAGCTCAGCAGCTCTCCTCTGCTTCTCCTCCCTCTCTTCTTCCTCTGCTCCCTGTCCTCCAACTCTATTACAATCCAGGAACAGAGATGTGATCCCAATGCAGTTTCCTCGGTAATAAAGAGAATCTCTTCTGAGGACGGCTTTTGTCATCTTAATTGTTTGGTCTGGGCACATGTGACTTCAAACAGCCCCTGCGTCGCTTTAATATAGGGAATAATATGAACTCCTGTTAGCGCGTTTGGTCTAACGATCCACAGAGCCAATTAGTTCCTCGTTTTTCACTTATATTAACATTCTACAGAGATCAACGATACAGCGCGGATTCTGTATGGTTATAAGTAGGCTACTGCACGCTGCACATTAATCATGCCGATTACTAATATTAAAATGAAGATAATAATCAAGGTGGGCTATGCCAACTCTGGGCAGCACACGAACCTACTGCACATCGCGCGCATTAAAAGCACAAAAGCATAAAAATAAACATCCCAGAGGTATTTACAGGCGAAATCCCGGAGATGTGCAGCAGCATCTGAGCAATATCTGATTCATGCACATTTTTTTTGACGTGCTCCTTTGCTTCCAGCTCCGGTGATTTAATCTTGGAAAGCGTCTGTGTGGCATAACGACGTCCCCATAATCCAGAAATTCATAAGGAGGGGAGGAGGGACAGCAGGGGGGGGGGGGATCCGGTTCCAAATTGATGCGGTGTCCTTTGCTCTCTTGCAGTCCGTCACACCTAATTTTGATCTAACGGCGGTGCCTGAAAAAAGGTGCTCGGTAAATGGAGAAGTCTCTCCCTTGAGGGCGGAGATAGTGCGTAAGATAGACAGAAACAGAAACCAACGCATTCAAAGGCAGGCGAGTCCGCCTCGCGCTGTAGGCTCACCATCTCTGGAGTTTGTAACAGCCGAAAATAAAACCAAAGGATGACGGCTGGCCGCCCACTGCGCCGAATAATTACGGTGGGAATGAGGTTCACAAAGTTCATTTAAGTTACTTTAATATAGTGTGCTTCCTTTATCACACAGACTCGTCTCTTAAAGAAGGGATGTTGCGCTTTTATTATGGCTCAAGTTTGCACAAAGGTGAAAATGTTTAATTCAGCTTATTTTTAGCCGACATTGAGTGGGAATTCGATGCTTTTTATAGTTTTGGGACCTGTCAGAACATAGCCTATTCAAAGTAATATTTCAGGTAAACAACTTTTTATTAAGACTTTGCTCTCAGCGGCTGCAGACTAGTGGCAAAATGGATGGTAAAATCAGCTTATTGTGTGTCAGCTGGCCATTGGCATTACATATTTCTGGTAACAAGATCCCTCTGTAGGAATGTGGTCACTGGTAACTTGTTTTGGAAAATACACTGCTCCAAAAACTATTGGCTAATCATAACAGTATAATCAAGTCAATTAAACCTTGGGGATATAAATCTGTCCAGGTAGGAAGCATAAGCGATTGTGAATCAGTGTCACCTGTTTTTGTGCAAATTAAAGTGACAACAGGTGCACTGCAGAGGCAACAGCAAGACAACCCCAAAAAGGGAATGGTTTTGCAGGTAGCAGCCTTACTTGCTTCTTTGTGCGAGGAGGACAGGAGGAGCACTTCCAGAGCCCTACAAAATGACCTCCCGCGGGCTACTGGTGTGCCTGTTTCTGTGCAAACTGTCCAATGAGGGTCAGAGTCGTCAAGTGGGATCTGTGCTTACAGCCCAGCACCATGCAGCTTGATTGGTATTCACCAGAGAACACCAGAATTGGCTGGTCCACCATTGGCTCTTCACAGATGAGAGCAGATCCACACTGAGCACACGTGACAGATGTTAGAGTCTGGAGACGCTGTGGTGAACTTTATGCTGCCTGCAACATCATCCAGCATGGCTTGTTTGGGAGTGGGTTAGTGATGGTCTGGGAAGCCATATTCTTGGATGGTTGCACAGACCTCCACATGCTAGCCAACAGTATCCTGAGAAAAAGGTTAACAGCCTAATGTTTTTTTGTTTTTACTAGTTTAGTTGTGTTAGCAAACACGTTAATCAGTGAATTATAGGAGTAGTCTACGCTGTCTTCTCTGATTTCCCTCTGCCATTGATACTGGTGTTCATTCTGAATAGTAAACCTTCTTCACTTAATGGTAGCGTAGTTGGGCTGTGTGTTGGAGATCACTTGAAAGATATTTAATTAGTTAAATGGTTTAATTAGGGTTAGGGGGTGACAAAAATAATTGTGAGTTCACTAATCAAATAAATAATTAACCGATTAGTCGACTACGAAAATAATCATTAGTTGCAGCCCTAGTGGCCAGAGTGTAGGCAGTTACTCAGTGACAAAGGCTGCCATTGACTGACCCTCTTGTTTTCCAGAATTTAATTGAGAATCATGAAACCTGCATCCGACGCCACCAAGTAATGCCACAGACTGTCCAGGAGCTTACTGATGCCCTGATCCAGGTCTGGGAGGAGATCCCCCAGAACACCGTTCGACATCTCATCAAGAGTATGCCCAGATGTTGTCGGGAGTGCAAACAGGCATGTGGGGGCCAAACACACTACTGAGTCACATCATTAGTTGCCGTGATGAAAGTCACGCAAGTTGGATCAGCCTGTGATTTCAATTTCTTTACTCTGATTTTCAGTGTGACTTCAAACCCAGCCCTCAATCGGTTGGCGATTTTTGATTTCCATTGACAGTTGTAACGTCATCTGATGTGTGATGTATGTGTTCACTTAATTTTGTTGGGCAGTGTCATACTATGCACAATCGACATGATGAGATACCCCGCTTTAGTACCCAATCATGAGGCCCCGAGAGATTCACAATGTAGATTTATGATTAATTAATTATTTCAGTGGATACTGTGCTTACATGATTCATATTCCTGAATTAATTTGTAATATTTCTGCATAGGCATGATGCCCCTCGCAGACTAATCTGGCCATGGATAGATCTGATTTACATATAGGTTATTGGTAGTTATAATAATTTCTCCTGTTCACACTGGTTGCAAATATTGATCAAAATCAGAGCAGCAGATAAGGAGATGTCCAGACTTTTAGTGGGCATTCAGACTGAAATCAGCCCTGCATTAAAGAGGTGGTATTATGTTCATTTTCAGGTTCAAAATCCTATTTAGGGGTTGTACCAGAGCAGGTTTACATGGTTTAATTTTCAAAAAACACCATATTTTTGTTATACTGCACATTGCTGCAGCTCCTCTTTTCACTCTGTGTGTGAAGGCTTTGTTTTAGCTCTGGAGTGATGCATCTTGTCTCTAAATGATCTTTGTTGGGAATTGCACCTGCACAATAGCCAATCAGAACAGAGAAGGGCGGGCCAATGAGAAGCCGGTAAACACTGCTTCGTTTCACCTGCATGTTGCCGACCAGCTTAGCAACATAGACTGGAGCAAGAGTAACAAAAGTATCTTTCAACCATAAAGTTTTAAGTGAGCTCTGTCTCTACATCACAATAACAACTTTATGTCCATTGACTGCCTGGAGGGTCGCTAGTGTTTGGAAGGGAGAGGAAAGCTGTGTGCTGCAGCTCAGTGTTTTTCCACCAGTGTTTTTGAGGGCTTGTCGGACTAGCCACTTGGCGTTATATGACTCGCATTTTGCTTTCATCCCTGTGTCGTCACAGAGATGAAAGGGAAACGTCTGGACTACAAACTGAGCTGTTTTCAAGCAGTTCAGAGCAGAATTTTCTGTGGGAGATGGGAACTCCCTTTGGGATGGGCTTTTTCACTTTGCAAACATTACATGCACAAAAAAAGGTATATAACTCAATAAAGGAGAGGGGGAAAGCCAAAAATAAATAATATAAATACCACATCTTTAAAACATCAAAAAGGGCTGTGTTGGTCCAGTTTGTGTAACAAATCTGTTAACATAACTCCAAAACACTGCTTAGCAGCCTTTTTTTTTTCACGGCAGCGCCGATTTTCTCCTTCATTGCAGCAACTGCGAGGGAAACTGTAGAAATACGTTTTTCACCTTATGAGGTAATCCACCGTGCATTTGCATGTATTTGACTGGCCAACAAAAGCACATTGCCGGGTGACGTGCCGATTTTGCAACTGAATAGCATCCTTCCATTATGGTGCTTTCAGACCAAAAGCGAATTGAGCGTTTCAGGTGGTGAGTATACATACACAGTCCACGCAAAGACGCGTAGAGCCGCGATTTCCTGTCAGGCGGCGCGAAGCGACGTGAAGGAATTCGCGTGAGTTGAATGGCTTCAGAGCGATGTGTGGAGAGGGCCGGGCAGAGCGGGAGATTGAAAATCTGCTGGCCGACTGAGAGCTGCTAAACTTGGGGGAGAGGAGCAGGCAGCAGCGCTACAACTATTGCACAAATAAACCCCTGTAGTCGGACTGGATTATGCTCTAACAACTACACCGTTTACTCGCGGGAGGAGCTCGGAGTAAACTGCTTTTATTAAATTAGCTTTTTACTTTAGTTTTTGGGATTACAACGTTGATTTATCTTCAGCTTCTCAGCAGCTAGCTTCCGTGCACATCTGGTTCCAGTGTTGTTGTTAGCGTCGTTAGCTCTGTCGGACATTACTTGGACAAAAGAATGCGAGGAGGATAAACTAGCTGGTGAGTTAAGGAAACGTGTCTGTAACTTTACTGCAGCTATCATTGTGCTTTACTGTGACCAAGTTAGCATAGAATAGCCCTGATCGATCCAAACTCCATTCAGAAAACAAACATTTTAGAAGTTGTTGTCCTGCTGTCTTGCTGACAGACCTGACAAAGCATGATTTCATATGTTTAACAAATCTGCCTCATGTTGTAGTTATTTCGGCATCAGTTTGATCCGTTTATTGCCATTTAATCACAGCAAAATGTTTACTTTAGGTTCATACAGCTGTAGTAATGGCAAGTTGTGTTTATTCATGTTATCGCGTTAAAATCGCCTTCTCGCATTGTGTGTAAACACTTGCAGCGAATATACTCACGTGAGGAGAAAATTCGTGTTTGGTCTGAATGCCACATTAGACTTGTCTGGTAAACGCCTATGTCTTTTAAACTCTGTCAGTTTGCAACCTAGGCTTTCTTTTACAAATTATCAGTCTATACGCCTAAATTCAGATAACACCAGTGACATAACTATGACATCACCAGGGTTTCCCAAACTTTGGAAAACTCCCACCAGAGCTAGAGAAAAGAAATGATGCAACCATAGTGCTCCCCATGACAAGTAAACTGATCCTCATATATAGCAGCAGTGGCGTGTCCCTTTCAGTTAAGCTGATATAAAAAGTTCAGCAGTCTGAGTTTGCCAAACGAAGAAGGTATTTTCCAAAGTTACAGACTTTAGTACGAAATTCCCTCTTTGTGTTTGGACAGTATTTCCCTGCTGAGCTGCAGTGGAGGTATAGTAACACAAAAATGCAATTTTGTACTAAAAAGGCCGTAACTTTAGAAGATACACACTTGATTTGACTAACTCAGGCTGCTGAACCTCATATAGCTTTGGCTGAACTTTAGAATACATTTTTGCACAGGATGAGGACTGGATTTTTTCTGCTTTAGTCCAAGAAAGGAACTACTTCACAGCAATTAAAGAGCAGAGCAGGACTAATAAAAAACAATAAGCCTTTCAACTCACATAATGGCTATGTGAGTTTTGCTTTAAGACAGACTTGAAGAAATATGAACATATCCTTTAAAAGGTGCTCAGCGATGTTTTTGTGATAAAAGAAACCCAATAGCCCATACACAGGAGTAATCAAAGCCTGTGGGTGACTCATTTGTATTTTAATAGTCTGTAATCAGTTTTATTCTGGTCACTGAAAAAATGCCAGACAGTCCAACGAACAGCGTCCATAATGGTGCAGAAGT